CCCAGACCCCTGAAAAGAGAAGGCGAGCCACAGAGCTACTCCCCAAACATCACAGCGTGGAGGTTTCTCAGCGGCACCTCCAGCGTTTCCATCCCGGCCGGCAGGTGGAAGGATTTCCTGGGAAGAGGCCGGCGAGTCCTGCCCCCGCTTCCCGTCCCCTTCAAGCCCTCACGTAGCCCCTGCAGGCTTCCCATGCTACAGACAGTCGGGGGAAAAACAGCTGCGGGGAGAAGAGGCAGGAAGTAGCCAGCAAAGCCCCTGCAAGCTTTTGCAGCCCAGGAACAGGCAGCTGCCTGCACTGACCCCAGCCCCCCGGGGCCGTCGGTGCCCCTCCACGCTCCCTGCACTGCCGGCTGATGCCCAAAATCAAGCAGAAGACAGTTTCCTTCCCATGGCCAGGATAGCTGGGCTCAGCAGGGATTTATGGCACCCCAGGGGATGAGGTGACCCCGTGATGTTCCCTGCCACCCCCCCAGCCCTCCCAGGTCCCTGTCTCCAGCAGGATGGCCAATCCAGACACCTACCTGCGTCAACCCTGGCACACAGTGCACGGCATCCCCATGGTTGATGCCTTTGCCCACAACTGGGAGCGCATTGACACCTTCCAGAGCCGCCCGGAGGACATTGTGGTGGTCACCTTCCCCAAATCTGGTGAGCATTCCCAGGGACTGGGGAGAGGTGTGATTTCGGACAGGAGGCACCAGCCTGCAGCCTCCTGGGCTGGGACCTGGGGGATGCCAAATGGCAACGCTGGTAGACAGCGCCCCACTGGTGCCCGAAATGGGTCTCCAGTGGGAATGGCATGAGCTAGATGTCTGACCTCTTCTGACCAGGCACCACCTGGGTCAGCGAGATTGTGGACATGATCCTGAAAGGTGCTGATGAAGAAAAATGCAAGCAGGATATCATCATCAATCGGGTGCCCATGCTGGAGTTTGCTGCCCCTGGGAAGATGCCAGCAGGTATCAGGGTGGCAGGGGTAGCTGGGGCTGGATGAAAGCAGGCTTGTTTTGGGGGCTTGGATGCTCCACCAGCAGTGGGAGTGCTCCTGGGGGAAATCTCCTTTGCAGGCACAGAGCAGCTGAAGGCCATGGCATCCCCTCGCATCATCAAGACCCACATCCCAGCTCACATCTTGCCAAAGTCCTTCTGGGAAAACGGCTGCAAGGTAACAGACCGGAGGGGGACACACCTGGAAGGACCTACCCAGACCCCTGAAAAGAGAAGGCGAGCCACAGAGCTACTCCCCAAACATCACAGCGTGGAGGTTTCTCAGCGGCACCTCCAGCGTTTCCATCCCGGCCGGCAGGTGGAAGGATTTCCTGGGAAGAGGCCGGCGAGTCCTGCCCCCGCTTCCCGTCCCCTTCAAGCCCTCACGTAGCCCCTGCAGGCTTCCCATGCTACAGACAGTCGGGGGAAAAACAGCTGCGGGGAGAAGAGGCAGGAAGTAGCCAGCAAAGCCCCTGCAAGCTTTTGCAGCCCAGGAACAGGCAGCTGCCTGCACTGACCCCAGCCCCCCGGGGCCGTCGGTGCCCCTCCACGCTCCCTGCACTGCCGGCTGATGCCCAAAATCAAGCAGAAGACAGTTTCCTTCCCATGGCCAGGATAGCTGGGCTCAGCAGGGATTTATGGCACCCCAGGGGATGAGGTGACCCCGTGATGTTCCCTGCCACCCCCCCAGCCCTCCCAGGTCCCTGTCTCCAGCAGGATGGCCAATCCAGACACCTACCTGCGTCAACCCTGGCACACAGTGCACGGCATCCCCATGGTTGATGCCTTTGCCCACAACTGGGAGCGCATTGACACCTTCCAGAGCCGTCCGGAGGACATTGTGGTGGTCACCTTCCCCAAATCTGGTGAGCATTCCCAGGGACTGGGGAGAGGTGTGATTTCGGACAGGAGGCACCAGCCTGCAGCCTCCTGGGCTGGGACCTGGGGGATGCCAAATGGCAACGCTGGTAGACAGCGCCCCACTGGTGCCCGAAATGGGTCTCCAGTGGGAATGGCATGAGCTAGATGTCTGACCTCTTCTGACCAGGCACCACCTGGGTCAGCGAGATTGTGGACATGATCCTGAAAGGTGCTGATGAAGAAAAATGCAAGCAGGATATCATCATCAATCGGGTGCCCATGCTGGAGTTTGCTGCCCCTGGGAAGATGCCAGCAGGTATCAGGGTGGCAGGGGTAGCTGGGGCTGGATGAAAGCAGGCTTGTTTTGGGGGCTTGGATGCTCCACCAGCAGTGGGAGTGCTCCTGGGGGAAATCTCCTTTGCAGGCACAGAGCAGCTGAAGGCCATGGCATCCCCTCGCATCATCAAGACCCACATCCCAGCTCACATCTTGCCAAAGTCCTTCTGGGAAAACGGCTGCAAGGTAACAGACCGGAGGGGGACACACCTGGAAGGACCTATCAGAGATAAGGGGGAGACTTGCTCTACTGGGACCTTTCAAGTTCCCATGTGTCACCAAGTTCTCTGCAGATGATCTACGTGGGGCGCAATGCCAAGGATGTGGCTGTCTCCTACTACCACTTTGACCTGATGAACAAGCTGCACCCACACCCTGGGACATGGTCCCAATACCTGGAGGAGTTCATGGCTGGCAGAGGTGAGACAGGGCATGTGTGGGTGCATGAGGGGACCCTGTGGTGTGCCAGCACCCACTGACACCTCATTGGCTGCTCTCCCCATGCAGTGGCATATGGCTCCTGGTACGACCATGTCAAGGACTACTGGGAGCGGAGGAAGGATCACCCCATCCTCTACCTCTTCTATGAGGACTTGAAGGAGGTGAAGGACAGGGATAGGTGGTGATCTGGGGCCTGGGGCAGGGTGGCAGGAGGGGTGAACATGGGCCTGTGTCCCACAGGACCTCCACCGGGAGATTGCCAAGGTGGCCCAGTTCCTGGGGAGGGAGCTGCCAGAGGCAGCCCTGGATGCCATTGCCCGACACACCTCCTTTGAGGCCATGCGGGACAACCCCACCACTAACTACACCATGGTACCCTCCCACCTCATGGACCATGGCATCTCTCCCTTCATGCGCAAAGGTGAGCGGCCCCAGGGGGCTCCTGGCACATTTTGTGTGTCCCCCCAGACCCCTCTGAGCCCCATCTCGCTTGTTCCCAGGCACCACTGGAGACTGGAAGAACCACTTCACTGTGGCCCAGAGCGAGCGCTTTGACCAGGACTACGCGGAGAAGATGTCGGGCACCGACCTGCGCTTCCGCACCCAGATTTGAGGAGGCGCTGTCAAACATCCTGCAAACTGACCTGTGCTGATGGCACCATCACTGTGCCCGGGGCTTCTTCCCCTCTCCTGGGACTGCTGGAGAGAAATAAAACATTCTCCCCGACTCCTCATGGGATGCTCACTCCCTTGCGCCTGTGCTGACCCCAACCCAACCATCCCCCTGTGCCCCTGGCTCTCCTCAGGTCGAGGAGGAGCTGATGCCACCGCCATCCCCTCACCCCCGTGGCAGGAGGATTGAGCTCGCAGCATCAGCAGAACAAGCACGCAGGGAAGGGGCTGGCTGGATGTGCCAGCTGGGCTGCAAGAGGTGGCCTCCCTGCTCCACGTGGGGCGATATGGCCTGGGACCTGTGGGGCGGGAGCAGGATTAATGGGCCCGGAGCTGTCCTGCCAGGAGGTCAGTGGCCACTGCCTTCTCTCCGCACTGGCTCCTCCCTCCCGGCAGCCACAGCGTTTGCAAACGCCGCTGTCCTCACTCGCCCTGCCTTTTTCCTTCTCCTCCCCTGAAAACTGCTGCGGGGCCCCACAGCTCCCTGTCCTCTGCTGTCACCCTCCTGGCGTCACTTTCCCGGCGCAGAGCAGCTCCCTGCCAGGTGAGCCAGATGTGCTGCAGGTGCTCTGCCCACACGCGGCTGCTCCGGGCTGCCCGCTGTGGGACTTGGGGTGGTGGGTTTGGAGTACTTTGGGCTGCAACCAGCACCCCCCTAAACCAACTCCTGGGTTGGGGGCTGCTATGGTAACCCCAGAGACCCGGTTCCTTGCTCCTCTGGGGTCCTGGGGCAGGGAGAGGTGATGGCCTGGGTGACACGGGCACCTCATGGGCACCCTCAGCCCTTGCTGGGGCACAGGGTGGGCTCCTGCTGCTGCAGGCAGGACTCCTGTCCCCAGGTGGGTGCAGCAGTAGGGCTGTGGTGACCTCCAGTCCTGGCATGGGTGGAGTTGCTGCTGCTACCCAGGCAGGCATGGTGCCAGGTGCCTGCCTTGCCCTGGCTGGTGCCTGCAATGGGAGGGTGAGGGACCCTCTGCACCAGCCAGTCCCCCATCTGTCCCTGTCCCTGTCAGGATGGCCAATCCAGACACCTACCTGCGTCAGCCCTTGCTCACAGTGCACGGCATCCCCATGGTCAATGCCTTTGCCCACAACTGGGAGCGCATCGACACCTTCCAGAGCCGCCCGGAGGACATTGTGGTGGTCACCTTCCCCAAATCTGGTGAGTGTCCCCAAGCCCACCAGCCATGGTGATGCCAGGTGGGTGGTGGTGTTGCGCAGCTGGGACCCGCTGCCTGGGGAGACAGAGCACATGCAGGGGTCTCAGAACAGAGCTCTGCAGCATTTCCCTTTGCCCCCTTGGTGCCTGTTCGAGGTCTGGGGGGTTGTTGGTGCTGAGCCCTCCAACGCTGCCCTGACTGGCCCCCTGGTGGGCTGCTTTCCCCAGGCACCACCTGGGTCACGGAGATCGTGGACATGATCCTGCAAGGTGGCGACCCCGAGAAATGCAGACGGGACATCATCAGCAAGAGGGTGCCCATGCTGGAGTTCTCTGCACTCGGGGAAATGCCAGCAGGTAGCAGGGCATGGGGGATTGGCCATGGGCACAACAACAGGGGCTGAGCCCAGGGGGACTCTGCCAAGAGACCACTGGAGACATGCTTTAGGGTCTCTCAGGGACAGACCTGCTGGCCACCATGCCCTCGCCCCGTGTGGTGAAGACCCACCTTCCCGCACATATCCTGCCCAAATCCTTCTGGAAAAACCACTGCAAGGTAATACCCAATCCTGCTCTGTGCTCTGGGGAGCATTGCAGCCCCTCTGCTCCCCTGGGGCAGGATTCCCACTGTTCCTTCCAGTGTCCTAAATGGTGTTGGGAGCACTAGGGGCCGGAATATCCCACCTGTTGGGGATCCTGCCCCTTGCATCCCATGGCCCGTCTACAGATGATCTACGTGGGGCGCAATGCCAAGGATGTGGCTGTCTCCTACTACCATTTTGACCTGATGAACAAGTTCCAGCCACACCCTGGGACATGGTCCCAGTACCTGGAGGAGTTCATGGCTGGCAGAGGTGGGACAAGATAGACATGGGAGAGGTAACCCCATATCCCTCCTCCAGCCCTGCACTGACACCTCATTGGCTGCTCTCCCCATGCAGTGGCATATGGCTCCTGGTACGACCATGTCAAGGACTACTGGGAGCGGAGGAAGGATCACCCCATCCTCTACCTCTTCTATGAGGACTTGAAGGAGGTGAAGGACAGGGATAGGTGGTGATCTGGGGCCTGGGGCAGGGTGGCAGGAGGGGTGAACATGGGCCTGTGTCCCACAGGACCTCCACCGGGAGATTGCCAAGGTGGCCCAGTTCCTGGGGAGGGAGCTGCCAGAGGCAGCCCTGGATGCCATTGCCCGACACACCTCCTTTGAGGCCATGCGGGACAACCCCACCACTAACTACACCATGGTACCCTCCCACCTCATGGACCATGGCATCTCTCCCTTCATGCGCAAAGGTGAGCGGCCCCAGGGGGCTCCTGGCACATTTTGTGTGTCCCCCCAGACCCCTCTGAGCCCCATCTCGCTTGTTCCCAGGCACCACTGGAGACTGGAAGAACCACTTCACTGTGGCCCAGAGCGAGCGCTTTGACCAGGACTACGCGGAGAAGATGTCGGGCACCGACCTGCGCTTCCGCACCCAGATTTGAGACGGTGTCATCACGTGCCTCCCAAAACCAACCCACCCCCACCAGTCTCACTCCCTGGCAACAGCTCCAGCACTTGCCCAGCCTGCCCATGTCTCACTGGTCTCCCCACACCCAGAGGGACTTCCGCAAAAATAAAAAGTTTCCTTTCTGCATTTTCCTTCCAAACGTGCGCTCATGTGAAAGCTGCTGTGTTGCTACAACGTGTTGCGGAGTCTTATCCCACCTCGCATTGCTCCAGCCCCATGTTGCCCACCCAGGCCATGTGTAGGTCACACCTGTGTGGCCTTTTTTTGAGGAATATAAGAGCCAGTATTCAGCATAGAGTCATTTTAGCATGTGATGAATAGAAGAGTTTAGCAGCTTCCACATGCATACCTCTATCATGGCCAAGGCTCAGACAGGGTCCAGCACCCACCCTAGCCTTAACGCTGGGACTCTGTAGGCTTTCCTCATAACACAGACTCCCCTAGCTGGGGATTTTTAGGCTGAAGGCATCTTAGTCTATTCAGGCACAAGATTTCCTCTACTGATTTATCTCTCAGCCCCTCAACATCATAGTATCTTGCTGCAGGAGCTTCCCTTTATCCTTACTCCTCCTGTTGCAGCTCAGCACCGTCAGGAGTTGTTTTGATCCTGCTGCTCTTGCCAAAAACTACTGCTTCGCGGTCAAGAAATTGACTTGTTGTTGGCCAAGCCTTCCAATCACTTCTGCTTTGCTCCTTAGGTATTTCCATTTGTGTGGAAGCACATAGATTTGTTTTGATGACTCTCTAATGGCACCTCTTTCCTCTTCATAACTCAGATACCAGCTCCCATGAAATGCACAGGGTCATCAAACATGCTTCAAGAAGTGCTTTCTTTCACTACTCTCAGTTCAAACCAGATTTTTTTTGTATTTTTATCTTTTGTCCCTGGCCTCAAAGTACAGTCCTAACAGCACCCGCCCTTGGTGCTGTAGATACGGTGCTTGTTAGCAGCTGAAGAGATTTAACATAACCAGGTAGGGGAAGCTAAAATGTCTTGTCCTAGAAGTTTTGTGTAGGCACAAACTGGTAAGACCCTCAGAAAGAAACAAGTATTCAGTTGTGAGTCCAGAGGAGGGGTTGCAAGAGTAACTTTTCCTTAAAGCACCATCTAGCAAATCAGGGCAGGATCCCTCGTAAACACCCTTGTAAAACCAGGACTTTGAATCCCTTGATATGAACGCAGTGCCTGTCTTCCCACTGCTTGTCAATACTGAGGTGTTCATGTGCCAGGTGAAGGCCACAGCAGGACTGAAGGACCCTTTCTCCTCATGTCCGTGCATAGATGCCCAGGAGCAGAGCTGTGGACCAGAGAAGGGGATTGCTGCTGGCTTAGGGGCAGGAGGTCAGGGGAAATCCTTGATGATCACAGTTAAGAGTACCTAAGAGTGCTCCCACATCACATGCAGAGGTCCAGACATCCACATTGATGACATCCAAAGCAGATAATGTTCCTCCCTCTCAGTCCTCCAGCCTGGAAACACCTCTGGCTCAGGATACAGCAACCCCAGCCAAAATCGCACCCATGCCTCCAGCACAAATGGAGGAGGAAGCACAAACCCATCCTGATGAAGCACCCTGAGAGATGAAATGGCATCCCTCACAGTTATGATGTGAAGCCCAAGTCCAAATCACCAGACCTGATTTCCTGGGATCAGAGGGTGTGCCTCTATTTGCCTCCCAGACATGCAGAAACACTCCTTCACTCCCCAGTTGGAAGCAGATGAGCTGCTCTCCTCTGACTCCCAGCCTGAGCAGCAGGGGATCAGCTCCAAACCTGCAATATCAGAGGAAAAGCAGTCTCTGCCTTCTCTGCACTCTGAAGCACAAAAGGTGTCATGGCCACAGGCAGTGTTGGCAAGGGGGCTGTCTCCAAGGGCATGTGCCACATACCCCTCTGGGGAATAAGTGGCAAGGGTACTGCTTGTGTATCCAGGCCCAGGTACAAACCTTGTGCCAGCAGCTTCCAGTGTCAAACAGCAAAACTTCCTTCCTGCAAGACACAGATGTGGCTTAGGATCTTGAGCAGGCTGCATCCAAGTCAGAAAAAGTTATTTCTGATAAATTTCCCCCAGCCAGTTTTGTTCCGCTTCCAAATTTCTTTCTTAGACCAGAAAGCCAGCAGGAAGCTACAGGAGCAGGGTTATGTACAATCTGTGGAATTAGTAAAAATTTAGCAGGGATTTCAATTTTGTTTTCATTCCCTTGCAGAGCTAGGAACACACAAATGCATTTTAGCATGTGGCTCAATGCAGTGGCTGCTGGCCAGCTGTTCAGGGGGACCCCTGGCCTGTGCTAGCTTGGTCTTTGCCCAGCTCCTCCCTCAGCCAGCAGCAAACTCATCCAGTAAAATAAATCATTGGCAAGCTGACCTTGCACAGGGAAAATCTTGGCAAGGGAGCCTGAGCAGCAGACATGCCTGAGAAGGCGGGAGAGAGCAACTGCCCCTTTCCAGGCTGGTGAGCTGTTAGTTGAGTCCTATCACATCTATACCCACAGTATCTGCAGATATGCCCATCTCCATGGCAGTCAGCTTTCCCTTGGGGGATGGACAGATGCTGGCAAGACAGAGATGTGCTGCATCTTCAGGCAGCTTCAGCAAGTCTCTGCTGCTGCACCTCACTGTAGAGCTGGCAAGGACATGGTGCACCACCTCTTCTCCATTAACAATGCACAATTTCTAGCAGGGACAAAAAGCCTGACCTGGGCCTCTTTTTGGCTTTGTGGAGTGGAAATGGCCTCAGTGCAAGCCACCCCAGTCCCTACAAATTTGAGTGCCAAGGTGTCACTGCAGCATTGCAACAGCAATGAGAGAAAGAGAGTTAAAACCAATAAAAACAAGTGAAATGCTAGAGCGGCAAGGTAGAGATAAAAAGATACAATTTAGGTGAGAAAAGTGGTTATGGTAAAGCTATTAACTTCTGCTGGAGTTTCCCCCTTACCCCTGGAGATTACATGGGAGCAGATGTTTTACTAAGCATTTGCATAAACGCCTTTGCAAAATTGCTCAATCCACTCGCTTCCCTCTGTACTCAGGGATGAAACAACCTTGACATTTTCTGCATGCAACCTTCACCCCTCCTCCTTCAACCAAAAGACAGTCAATACTTACAAGTCTGCTTTCAGTCCAGAAGCTGCTTTACTGCAATAAGTGAAAAGAAAACCATAGAGTCATTGGGTGCTCCTCATAGCAAAACTTCCCTTTCCTACCCTAGAACTGGATTTTTGAGGTGCTGGCTGGCATCAAGGTTTCCTAGAGATAAAGGTGCCATGCACACTGTAACCCGTGTTCAGCAAAACAGTGAAGAGGCCACTATGTGGAAAACACTAATTTGAATTGCCTAACTTTTGCATAACTTGCCTTTTGGAAATTATTTAACAGGGCTGGAGGTTATGTATTGACATGACATCTGCAGCACTCCTGCTTAGTAATGCTAGATATCTGAAATACTGACACTTAACACCATCTACTTTCTTCAGCCCTGCTTTTCTCCCATTTCCTGGATTTTGTCCTTTAATCCTCTCAAAATGCTTATTTTCTCTGCATTAAGAGTAATCTGAGTATGATCTTTAAAAGTTGGCCACGGAAACAAGACATATTTAACCCACCGGTTCCCCTAGTGATAACTCTCATTTGCTACTGTGCAATCAGTTACTGAGGGGTTTGAAATTTCTTTCCCAAATAAGCTAAATTAGCCTGAAAAATAGATATTATTCTGAATACAAAGGTCTAGGGAGAGATCATAGTGAAATTCCTGGCTGTAAGGCCAAATTACTGTTGAAACACACTGCTATAATTGCCCTGTATTCTGAGTTTTTAGAAAAGGTCACATTGAATATATGGACAATATTTCAAAACCACAGAGGTGCAACTTTAGATTCTTGTATGTTAAAGTCATTAAAAACTTGCCTAAATCTCCAGAATCAAGGGCCACACACCCAGCACAAGTAACACACCAACTTTTGAAAAACTGCAAACAAACCACAAGATTTTCTCTTTGTTGCTGTGAATAGTTTATAAACAAGCCTATTACTTAACAAACAATTTGGGTTTGCCAGCTGGCACCCTAAAGGAAGTGAAAAATCTTGAGCAGTCCCACACCGTATTTCTGAGCTACAAGATGGAAAAGGCCTCTGACAATCTGGCTCTGCAGTAACATTATAACATACCCTAGCGTGGGAGGACCATCTCAACTATTAAATTACTGGAGCATAACAAAGCCATGAATAACCCCAGAATAGTTGCCTTGTTGTGATCATCCTGTATTGTATTACTTCCTCCTTTTGAAATGCCCAGTTCAGAGGGTAACTTATTTAAGCTCCTTCTCCCTGATATCCAACCTCACCAGAGCAGCCCAGGCACAGGGGAGATGAGCAGCCAGAAACGGAAGCGAACCCATATAACTAATTGCACCTTGCAACTCAGACCACCACACTTACATTCCTTGGAAGACTCTAGGTAAGAGCTTTTTGCTGCACAGCATTTGTTCCCCAAATTGTGTTGGATAGAACATATAATTACGTGCATGGGTTTTGTCATTTTGGCTACTGGCGGCTGAGGGCTCCTTCCTCATCAATGTTTACAAATATGTAAGGGGTGAGTGTCAGGGGGACGGAGTTAGGCTTTTCTCGGTGATGACCAGTGATAGGACAAGGGGTAATGGGTGTAAATTGGAGCATAGGAAGTTCAAGGTGAATATCCGAAAAAATTTTTTTACTGTGAGAGTGACAGAGCACTGGAACAGACTGCCCAGGGAGGTTGTGGAGTCTCCCTCACTGGAGACATTCAAAACCCACCTGGATGAGTTCCTGTGTGATGTACTCTAGGTGACCCTGCTCTGGCAGGGGGGCTGGACTAGATGATCTCTCGAGGTCCCTTCCAGCCCCTAAGATTCTATGAGTCTATGATTCTATGATTCCAGGACGTAGCACCTTACATTCAAGTGCTGACTTTCCGAGTGAGAGTCACCCCAGAAG